TAAATGTGATATCCCCAGTGATCCCATAATTGACAGATGTAAAAAAAAATTCTGGTGATTTTAGAAATGAAAACTACTGGCACTTCTCAACAGGTGCCATAGTTCAAGGCCAGAACTTCAGCTGCTGGTCAGAGCACCATGACTAAAATATCCCAGTTATGTAGAGGCAAAAGATTCCTAAATAGAGGCCTTCTTGGCATGGGGTTAGGGGATAATTAAACAGAGTGGTGCTAAAATTAATCTGGGAAACAATCAACAAGAGGAATTACTCTAACAACTAAAGGAAGACAGAGGAGCAGTGGTAGATCAATTGTTGGCTTATATCTGAAAGCAAAAAATGCAATCAGTTACTTTTTAATCCCAAATTATCCCTAGTAATACTAAACTTCATTCAATCTTAAAAATAGAAAAGAAAGGATGATTAATCTCCGTAAGTTTTGAAGACTCTAAATTCTACCAATTCTTACAAAGATCTTAGCAGAAACTCTGCGCTGGACCAGAGCATAGTTTAGGAAGTTGCTGATTTTGAAATCAATTTTTCTAAAGCAGACTTTCCCCCCACCCCCAAGAGACCCTAAGAAAATAATTTAAGTCTGATAGGAAATGTCAGAAAAACTGATAATTTAGAATACTTCCAGGAATGCAAAAAATGGTAATTTCTTTTAAGATCATTCCAAAGTACGAAAGTCTAATTAAAGCTCATTTCTCTACAGTGAAGTCAGTCATTACTAATAACGTACTCATCTGTCAGAAAAGTATCTTAGCTTCTTAGTGGTGCTGTAACACAAATACCCTAAGTTGAGTGGCTTTAACAAACAGAAAAGGATTTTCTCGGGTTGTTGTTAGGTGCTGTCAAGTTGGTCCTAACTCAGAGACCCCAGATACAATAGAACAGAACACTGCCCAGTCCTGTGCTAGCATTATGATTGCTGCTATGTCTGAGCCCACTGCTGTAATCACTGTGTCAATATCCTTGTTGAGGTTCTTCCTCTTTCTTGCTAACCCTCTACTTCACCAAGCATGATGTCCTTCTCCAGGGAGTGGTCCCTCCTGACAACATGTCTGAAGCATACATCTGACAAAGACTCACTATCCTCTTTTCTAAGGCGCTTTCTAGGTGTACTTGTCCTAAGACAGATTTGTTAGTTCTGGCAATCCGTGCTATCTATGTTCAATATTATTTACCAACACCGTAATTCAAATGCATCAATTCTTCTTTGCTCTTCCTTACTCACTGTATAGCTTTTCTACACATAAGTTGTTGTTTTGTTGTTATGTGCTGTTGAGTCGGACCCGACTCATAGCGACCCCTCCTTGGGTTTCTGACGCAGTATCACTACGGAAGTAGATCGCCCCATCTTCCTTCTGAGGAGTGGCTGGTGGGTTTGAACCGCCAGCCTTCTGGTTAGCAGTCAAGTGCCATAAGAGGTGACTGAAAATACCAAGGCTTGGGTCAGGCGCACCTTAGTCCTCAAAGTGACATCTCACAGTTTAGAAGGCTAGAAGCTAGAATTCAAGGCACTGGCTCTAGAGAAAGGGTCTCTCTCTCCAGTCTGGGGGAAAATTCTGTCTCAGCTTCCATTCCTTGGTGATCTCCACATGGTATCTATCTTTCCCCCATTTGTGCTTGCTTGTCTCTGGGCATAATCTAATTTGTTCTTTTCATATTTCAAAAGAGATGAGGTTTTAAAGCACATTCCGCACTAATATGGTCTCTTTAACCTAACAAAGAAAATCCTATTTCCTAATGGGATTATATCTCCACAGGTATAGGGGCTAGTATTCCAACATATATATTTTTTTGGGGAAACACACAATAAATCAACAGAAAGAATGGCAGGATAGTGACTGTAGAAGTTGGTATGACCTAAGTGAAGGGCAATTTTCAGTGACTTATGAAAACTGCAAATTCTCATGTTCTCTAACCAGCAATCATATTTCCAGTAATCAATGCCAAAGATATACTTTGTTGTTGTTGTTGTTGTTGTGTGCCGTCGAGTCGGCCCCGACTCATAGCGACCCCTCTTTGGGTTTCCGAGGCAGTATCACTTTGTTGTTGTTGTTGTTGTGTGCCGTCGAGTCGGCCCCGACTCATAGCGACCCCTCTTTGGGTTTCCGAGGCAGTATCACTACGGAAGTAGGATTGCCCAACCTTCCTTCCTTGGAAATGTGTAATATTAAAGATGAAGAAGAAAATATTAAGTATTGAGTGTTTTATATGTTAATCATTCTCAGTCATACAAGGTAAATACTGTAACATTTCACAGATGAGCTAACAGGAAAGTAGTGGATAAGTAACTTGCCAAAGATTACGAGTATTTATGTATGTATTTAATAGAGACACTTTTATTAAGCTTTGGACAGGACAAAGACAATCACCCAGGATGAGGGGAACCATCAATATGTACACCGTAGATACAGAAAGCTGCATGGAGTCCCAGGTCACTAGTGCTCAGTAGAAGTGACACTTAAACTTCAGAGACCACACTTCTAACCACAACACTACGTTGCCTTTCCAGCATGGCTTTTTTAATAGTGAAAGATGAGAAGTAACCTACTTGATCATAAATGACTTTCTAAAAATTGTTATATCCACACAACAAAATCAATGCAGCCTTTAAACTATGACATAAAGTTTGTACTAATATGGAAACTCTCCAAAGTGAGTGCAAAACAATGCGTGTATAATTTTTTTTAAAAAGGGCTTTATAAATACGTATATATTTATATGCATTTGCATCACATACATTATCTGTGGAGTAAACATGAAACTAGTGACACTTGTTACCTCTGAAAAGTGGGTGGGCAGGGAAAGTGAGGCCTACTCTTTCATTCTACAATTTTCTTAATTTTGGGTATACGTTATCTATTCTACGTAAAATCTATTACAACGGGAGTCAAGGCACAATTCAGTTGTTAACTAGCAAGTCAAGCTACCTAACCTATGTAGTTCAGTTTCTCTACAAAAATCCCCGAAGGTTGAACTTAGGTGATTTACTAACTCTGAAAAACATCACTACCTAACTCAGGTAAGACTAAAGCTGTCTCTTGCAGGGGTGAAAGGAGACTCAGGTAAGAGCCCTTCAAACCCCGCCCGCTAGCATCATCCCCTTCATCTGTTTCTAACATTCTCTCACCAAGGGTTTTACAATCAGACGTCCTAGGTTCAATCCAGCTCTCTCCTTACGTGTTTCGTAATAGTGAGTACATTATTTCACATCTGAGTCTTGGCTTTTTCAACTTTAAAATGGGGATAATATTCACAAAGCAAGCTTATGAGAGTTTAAAAAAAAAAAAAAGCATACTCAACACAGAGCCTGGCACATTGAAAATGAAAATAGTAACATCAAGAAAATCTCCCAGCAGCACAAGTTAACAATCAGCACGAGGATGCCTAGCAATTCTGACATGACAACACTTAAGACAAAAAAAGTTTTTTTTCAAGAATAAGAAAATTTCCCTTCTGTATCAAATGATAAAGGATGAAACGTCTCAAAACTTTTAAGTTCTGTTAAATAGGAATTCATCAGTAAAAAAATGCTCAACTTTCAGAATACTTTAAAGCATATGCTGCTCTAAGTGGAAAGCTATACTCTACTTATACGCTGGTTTTAAAACACAAAAAAGATAAAGGTTATTTTGCCAACGTAACTTGCGTATAAAAATTACTATGTCGCTTAGTAATTAAGTGCTGTCACGACCATGATTTAGGGATTTAATCACTGGATACGGCATATGTCCTCATCAATGTCCTTTTAAAAATACTTATGCGTTACCTCTAGCATTAAACAAAGATACTTTGTGACTCTACAACTTAGTGGAAACCACCTCCATCCTGTTCCCAAAATTTTGCAGACTCACACAGAGCCCTGACATTTACAATCATTTTAAGAAAACAGTATTTTTTTTCCCCCCTGAAAATCAATTATTCTCAACAGTATAAGGAGAGCAAACACTAACTTTCGCTTGCAAAGAGAAGCCAATAATAAACACAAGCCTTTACCAGTCTTCAAAACACCAAGCCCGGTTTTGAACGATGAAGCTAGTCTAAAACAAATTAAAAAGATGACCAGACCAACCCTCCAGCGTTTCCGTCTTCCTGGACGAAGGCCGCTAGGTTTGGCAACACAACCTGATAGTGTCACCCCACACTATCACAGCAGATCATTCGCAGGAATAGGACACCAGCATTTGTCAGAAACACACTGCCCCAAAGTGTCTAAACACCTAATAATCACAACCATTAAAAAAGAAATTAAGTCAAGGGGAAAACCAATTATGCTAATTTCTTAAGACTCAGAAGTTCCCTTCATCGCGTATCCTACTAGTCTGTCCAGTATTTAATATTGCAACGTAAAAATTTTCCGGGAGACAAAAAAAAAAAGTCGGGGGCTATGGGAACCGTAGCAGCCCTCGGCAAGGGGCCCGTCACGCCTGCAGCTAAAGGGCCCGCAGCTTGCTGAGCCGGCACCAAGCTCAGTGGACCGCAGCACCCTCCAGGCGGGCATCGCGGCCGCCGGGCACTCCGCCGCCAGCTCCCGCCCGGAATCCCGCGTCTTCCCAGACAGCCATTTTTACCAACAAGTAGGCGGCCCAGTCCCCAGAGCGGGCTCGTTTAAACCTCCGCCTCTCCCTCCCGGTCCGGATTCCCTCCGCCTCTGCGGAGAACGCGGGCACCGGCTGACCGAGTAACCCGCAGAGTTACGGCTTTTGTCGGCTTCGGAACAGACCAGAACCATTTTTTCCCGAACAAGAGATGATGCGGGCCCGGCCTGTGTATGCCCCGGCTGCGGGAGGGACCGGGGCAAAGGAGCTTGGGCTGGCGGCACCACGGCTCCGGGGCTTCGAAGGTAGCGGCGCGGCCCCTAACCGTGGGCGCGCCGGGTGCCGCCTTCTCTCTCACTCTCCCGCCCCCCAAAGTCCAGTTCCCCGACGGCAGGACGGCGGGGCAGCGGTGGGGGGAGGGAGCCGGAGGGAAAGAAAGGGTCTGAGTTTCTTACCTTGCTCTCCGCGGGGAGTAGGGCCGGGTTGGGTGGCCCGGGGAGGGGAAAAGGGTCGGGGGAGGGGGCGGGGAAAGGGGGGAGCCCTTGTGAGGTATAGCTTCGGAGCAGCTCCCGCCGCCGCCACGGCCGCCGCCTCCTTTCCGATTCACTGAAACAAACAAGATGGCTGCCGTTACGCTGCGGCTCTTCCTGCCGCCCAAACCCTCGGTTCAAATCGGCAGGATGTTTACGGTCAAAATGGTACCTGTGCGCCTGCGCAGCCAGTCTAAGCCCTGGAAGGCGGGGCGCAGGCGCAGTGACCACTTCCTTGTCTTTGGAACCCTCCCTTCCCCTCCGCCTCTGCTTGTGGGGCCGAGTACTGAGCAAGCGCAAATGTGATTTTCTCGCCAGAGGGTCTTCAGATGTAGCAAAGCGGTCAAATAATACACGCGCAATGCTTGCCAGGGAAGTGAATAGTTGGATTTGGTTTTATTCTTGTGCTTCTTTTAAGGGAGGAAACTTTGGTTGTACATTTTTATATGCACTTGAGACAAAAATTCATTTTAGTGGTTCTGTAGCTACAAAACTAACATAAAAACTTTAAACTAACTTCATCAACGTAAGTCATTCACTCATTCAGTCAACCTATATCTACAGAAGATCTGTGTGTCACACAGTCTGCTAGCTAGGCTCAAAGATACAACGATGAAGACAACAGAAGTAGTACCTGCCCTCATGAAGCTTGCAAATGGTTAGGAAACGTCTTACCATTTTTACAGGTACTGTCCTTACCAAGTTTGGAGGGAAACCTGGTCCTGGAGAAGGAGATGGAGTGGGAGAGTAAGTGGAGGAAGACTTCCCTCAGGAATTGGTGCTGGAGCTAGGAATGTAAAGGTTGACATGTTAACATGACAGGGGAGCTGGATCAGTGTTGAAAAGAGTTGCAAGGAAAAGGAACAACATTTGCAAAAGTCTTGTGGCAGGGAGCAAGAGAGGGATGTTGTTGGTTGCTGTCTAGTCTGATCCAACTCAAGGCGACCCCATGTTTGCAGGGTAGAACTGCATCCCGTTGGATTTTCAAGAAACAGTCTTTTCTCCTTAGGCATTTTGGGGTTTTGAACAGCCAACCTTTGGCTAGTAGGTCCAGAGCTTAAACGCACCACCCAGGGAATCCTAAGATACATATAAAGGAAAAGAAAGAAAGCCCATGTGGTTGGGCACAAAGGGAGACTTCTGTTTTGGAAAGATTATCTTGGCATATTGGCAGGGTTGCAGTGGATGTGTAGATGCAATTATCCTGGCATTTGACTGCTAATCAGGAGGTTGGCAGTTCAAACCCACCAGCTGCTCTGTGGAAGGAAGATGGGGCAATCTATTTCTGTAAAGATTTACCACCTCAGGAAACCAGTGGGGTCACTGTGAGTCAATATATAGAGAGAGGGAGGGAGAGGGAGGGAGAGAGACAAAGATAGAGAGTGAGGGGGAGAGAGAGAGAGAGAAAGTTGACTTTAGGAAATAAAATCAATAGGGGTTGGTGACCGATTTGTTATGGGAGTATGGGAGAGCCAGTTGTATGTATGATTCCTGGGACTAGGGCTTGCTGAGTTGGATGGACTGTGGTGCCTTCCACTGAGAC